TTTCTGTATTTTACACAACATTGATGTGCATTTATTTAATTTTCTAAAAATATAGTCCTGGCTGGTGTGGCTCAGTGCATTGAGCGCTGGCCTGAGAACCTGGCTGGTTTGATTCCTTGTCGGGGCACAGCCTGGGCTGCAGCCCAGGCTCCCAGCAGGGGGCACATGAGAGGCAGCCACGCAAGGATGTTTCTCTCCCTCCTTCCCCTCTTTCTACAAATAAATAAATAAAATCTTTTAAAAAAATATTTAAGTGGTATGTCATAAAACAGGGTTGCTGTTGGAAAAGTGATTAAATTCAATCGACCCATGAAGTCATTGATCACAGAGTTGTTGGTATCATTGTTGAAGTAAGAGGCTGCTCAATTGTGCAAGTTTCAAAGCTTGGAGTCTGAGAAGCTGCGAGCAGGTCATGGGGTTGACTGATCACCCCCAATAGCAAAGTTCTAGAATAAACAAGTAATTATATGTCTTTATTACCTTTGAAACTTGAGTGCAAGAAGACAAAAAACAGTGCCTTATAGGAGCAAGTTCTCCTGCCAGAACCAGCCTCATAAAAGGGTTCTGGGAATTCCTCCTGCACCGCCGACGTTCACTCAGCAAAAGGGCTGCAGGCGCGCCCTTCACAGCGTCCCCGGGACCTTCGCGGGGGTGAAGATGCCCCCTCCCCCGCCCCAACCAGGAGCCCACGGGTGGCCGCCTGCGGGGTGGACGGGCAAGGAGCCAGAAGACAGCGAAGACATTTTCTGGTCTAGACACATATTTAATGTTTGTTGGAAAAAAGCCTCATCACACGTCTGGCCAAGTCTGAACAGGGCCGCCTGCCGGCCCGGCCTGCCGCGACGCTGCCTGCAGAGGCGGCGTGGCGGCGGCACCTTCTCCTGCCGCCTTCCTGGAACTACGTTGCCATCGGGATTCACTTTCCGTCCGGTTCTCTTACCTGCGGGTCCGTCTGACGCTGAGGACGAAGCAGGACCGGGCGGCGCGGGAAGCAGAGTCCGAGGAGCGGGCTGGTCCTCGCCACGACTGTGCTGAGCGAATACACCTGACGCTCCCCCGACGGCAGGACGCGCTTCGCTCGTGTCATGCGCCCATGTCACCCCGCTGTTTCCCTCTCCGCCGGACAGGGGGTTGGGGGGGCAGAGCGCCCGTGGGGCGCGCGGGGCGCGGGGCCAGGACGGGCCCCCATGGCCCCGTCCGCGCACGTGCGGCGAGGAGGGTGTCCGAGCACCGAGGAGCCCAGGCCGGGGGCGCACGGAGGCGCGCGTGCGCCGAGGGCCCGTGCGGGGCGGCGCGGCGGCGGGGGTGCTGGGCCTGTCGACGGGCCCGCCCGGAACCTGGGGAAAGCGGCCCCGGGAGCCGACCTTCCCCGCCCAGGCGTGTGCAGCGCGGGCTGTCGCCGCGCCCAGAGGCACACGGCCCCCTCTGTCGCTGGGAGGCCCGGCAGCAGTGGACCCAGAGTGGGGGTCTGGCCCCTGAACACCGTTCTCCACTGAGGGAACCAGAGCTCCTGGGAGAAGAGGCTGGTTTCAGGTCTGAGGCAGGAAACGCATGCAACGCGCGTGAAGTACCGGAAGCGAGCGCCCTGCAGGGACGATGGGGACGGAGTGAAGGGCCACAACGAGCTTGGAGAGACTCCCATGAGCCAAGTCTGGGACATTCGGACATCAAAATAAATGGTGATAGCAATAGATTGTACCTCATTGAATAAAATAAGAACCCACGAGCTTATATTGATACGTACATGTTTCTTGAAATTTGATGAGGAGCAATGGTATTTCTATTGTCCCAAAGCATCTCCCTCCGTAACACCTAAAAAGGGGGAAAGAGCAGCTCTCTGACGGGGAAGCCTGGCAGACACCACCTTGTGGTCGGGGTGACGGCGGCATCACGAGCGGGACCACGACGGCGCACCGTCTGTGTGACGGGAAGCAGAGCTGCCGCTTGGGTGGTCCCTGCCGAGGGGCAGGGCCCGAACCTTCCCGTGAGGCCTCCTCGGACAGGACCGAATCACGAGGGCATCCGAGACCTCGGAAGTGCCAAGGACGGGGAAGTCAAGGGGGGCGGGAGAAGACTGCCCACCGCGGACTGCAGACAACGCCCGTGAGGAGGTGTTACCGAGGCAAGCGGCCAAGGGGGACTCCGGCCAGGGGTTCAGGGGTCGTAACATGGCGATGTTGACCTCTTGATTTGGGGTCAGGGGGTCATCAAAGGGGGTTTTTTTTAAAACATTTTTTATTGATGGAGAGAGAGAGAAACATCTGTTTGTTGTTCTTATTGATGCCTTCATCTGTCGCTCCTCGTATGTGCCCTGACCGGGGACTGAACCTGCAACCTTGGTGTATCACGGCGACGCTCCAACCAAGCTCCCCGGCCACAGCAGGAGATGCTATTTAATGGGAGAATCCAGTGCTGACAGTCAGAATATCTGGATTCCCATTTTTAAAAAACTTTGTATTGAGGTGTAACAATATCATGAGGACTTAAAAATACACTCTTACAACTTTCGAATATACAGCTCAGTGTTACCCACTGCAGCCCCGCCCTGCATTACGGCTCCGTAACGCACAGCGGGACAGTCTGTGTTTGCATCTCCTCCCCCGTTTCACCCCCTGCCTCTAGCAACCACCGATCTGTTTTCTGTATCTGTGAGCTTGGTTTTGCTGTTTTCGATCCCACACGCGGTGAGACCGGGCTGCCTCTGCCTTCCCCGGAGGGACCGCGCCCCTCACAGGGCCCCGGGCCCACCCGTGGGCCGCGTCTGGCTTCGCCCTCCCCAGCGGCTGAGGGGCGCCCCACGGCAGAGCGTTCAGTGACAGACACTTAGGCTGTTTCCATGCCTTTGCTATTGAAAAAAGTACTACAATGAACATAGGGATGCGTATGTCTTTTTAAGTTAGTATTTTGGGTTTTCTTTTAATACTTGTAAGTGGAATTCCTGGATCATAAGGTAGTTCTATTTTTAATTTTCGGACGACCGTCTCTGCTGTTCCCACAGCGGCTGCACCATCCACACGCCCACCGACACTGCACCAGGCTTCCCGTCCTTTGGGCAGAGCATCAGTGCCGTCTCAGCGGACCTTGAGGACGGGTGTCCAGCTGCGGGAGTGCCCCCACCCGGACACTGGGCGAGGGCTGCCCACCGCTCGGGACTGTCCCGTGTGCCTGCCGCTTCCTGGAGTTCCTGGTGCTCCCTGTCATTGCAACACAGGTCATTTCTTCAAGGAAGTGGACCGTGAGGCCATTTAGTGACGTAAGAATGATAAACCATTAAAAGAAACTTTGCAAACCTGAGTATATTTAGGAAAATGTGTAGAGTAAGTATTCAGAAAAGCTTCCTCAAAAGGGCTTTAAAGGAAGGTTCTGGACCTCAGACACGTCAATCTCCCACCAAATATGACTATGATTTGGTAGATTAAGAGTATCTACTACCTGCTTGAGTTTGGACCCATTTTCTCATCTTGAAAATGAGGACACTACCTGCCTCATGGAAAATACGAGAAGGTTAAGGGAAGAAACATAACCCGTGCCAGGCGCGTGGTGAGCGTCACAGGGACCCCAGCTGAGCTGGAAGCTTTTCTCCGCTCACTGTTAGCACTGACGTGCGTTCTGTTATTTAGGACACAAACAGAGAATACCATTAAAAGCAAAGAAAACATTTTTATTCTTTGATATATAAAACCAAGAAAACTTTAACATGTAATACAACATCGCCTCATTTTGTAAGAAAATGGCAGAAAGATAGACCTGGGTAGAAAAATAATCTCAAGCAGCTGTTCCCGGCAATTTCTAACTCCTAAAGTATGAATAATGCACAAATCTGAGGAAGCCTCTTCTTTTCTTTAGAAAAATTATTCTTATTTGCTTAACAAATTAAGATATGGTAAGAAATATAACTTTCTTTTTTGGTAACAGACCCAGTTAACAAGATACTCATGAGCTAGCAATAACACAGTAAAAGAACATTTCCTTGTGGTAGTACGTTAGCATTACATTTTTGGTTATATACTACATGTCACAGAACAAAAACCCACCGACCTTCTGGCTGCTAGTGCGCCCAGCGCCGCCCGCGCGCGGTTCGCCGGAGCTCACAGGGGTCTTTGGTCCGCCCTTTGCCTAGAACAAAACGGACAGCGTGCCTGGCGTTCAGATACGGAGTCAAACACGGGTGCAAGAAACAACCACCCCATAAAGCTATTTCTGAACAATAAATAGTTTCTGCACAAAAGAAAAATACTTTGCTTCTCACTTAACAAATTCAGGAAAAAAGGAGGGAGTGAGATACAGTTTTCCTTCTGTCACGAGCCCGACAGCCACGCAGGCGGCACAATTATGACGCCGGCCAGCAGGGGGCGCTGGGCCACAGGAGAAGGAGCCGCATTGAAAGGGCACCTAGAAAAATACTGTTACCTGTATTTATAGGAAAGCTTTATTTGGTCAAAGTTTAGTTCTCAAAATATAACTAACATTTTCTCCTCAACATCGGATTCAAACAGAATATACACTTTATATAAAATTTCATTGGTATAAACATGAATAAACATTCAAAATTACTAAACATGTAAATATCGCTAGAAGATCCAAGTGAAGTGACAATGAATATAATCTGTTAAAAATCAATTAAGATTTGTATGACTGGTTATTTAAAAACGAAGAGAACCGACGCGCCCGGATGTCTGTGTGCCTTCCAAGCCCCGCGGAGACGTCTCAGAAGCGGCGCTGGGCCCGCGTGACGCCGGGCGAAGGCTGGTGGCGCTCGTCTCCGCGCGAAGCGAACGCCGGCTCCGACCGCGAACGGCGCGCCCCGCCACCTCCCCGCCGGCCAGGCCGGTCCCCACGGTGGACCCAGGGGAGCTGCGCTTCCCCGCGAGGTCTGGGAGTCCGGCGCCCACTCGGCTGTTTGAAATCGGACCACGAACCACCGCACCTGGAAGTTCGCCTTCTACGCGCACACCGGTCGCAGGCGCAGCGCGGACGCCAGCCCGCACCACCCGCTCGGTGCCGGCCCATCCGCAGCGCTGGCGCGAGACCGAGGGGCCTCCGCGCCAACAAGCAGCGTGTGTTTGCGTGGCCAAAGGTAAAAACATGAATTTGTCCTTTTAAAAAGTAATTTTAAAGCTTCATGTAAAAATAAAGTTTTTGAAATTTAAAAGTGAAGTATTTCCTGCACTTGGTCAGACCCTTCCTACCACTTCACAAAGGCCTGGGCCTGCACCCGGCCTGGTGCGCGCGTGCCCTGTTTGTGGAGAAATTTATAAAAATAGACTATTTTGATTTTCTGTCCATAAGTTGAAACAGAGTAGGGGTGCAGAAGAAGAGGAGGGATAAATAAAACCACAGAAGGAAGGGTGATACGTAGAATGACTTTCTTATTTTAAAACGAGTACACACGTGGCCAGCGTTGCCGGGGGCCCGGCCGGGACGCTGCCCCGCGCCCCCTACAGGGTCACGGCCGGGCCGTGCTCCTCCACCCCGCCCGGGGGCAGCGCCAGGCTGTGGCGGGGGTCGGAGCGCAGCGAGCTGAGCAGCCGGAGCATGCTGCCCTCGCGCCCCAGGCCGGGCAGTCCGGACGCCGGGCCCGCGCCGTTGACCCGGGCGAGGCTGCCGGGCGGCCGCAGCACCGGCCGGGGCTCCAGGGCGCCCTCGAGCACGACGTCGGGCTCCTCGTCGCTCTCCATGTCGTCGGGGTGCAGGCTGAGCGGCGCGGCGGCCGGCAGGCTGTGGCGACTGGCCACGCTGTCTGAGGAGCGGCCGGAGCTGCCGGATGCACGGCCGCCGCGCAGCACGTTGTTGCGCTGATTGGCCGGCTTGACCGTGACGATGAGGTTGTGGCTGTTCGCGATCATCATGTCCGTCACCTGGTCCAGCGTCTTGCCCGCCACCTCGATGCCGTTCACCTCCAGCACCTCGTCGTCCACGGCCAGCAGCCCGGTGCTCTCAGCCAGGCCTCCCGGCACCAGGCGCGAAATGAAGATGCCCGGCACCTTCTCCAGGCCCTGCGGCGCCACCCGCACGCTCGTGCCGTCGCGGATGTAGAAGCCCAGCGGCTTCTGGCAGCCGTGCCGGTACAGCCTCACGCGCCGGTGCGTCTCGGGCAGGATGTCCACGTCGATGATGGAGGACACGGGGCGGAAGTCGTGTGGGAGCCCGATGTGCAGGTGCGCGCGCCGGCGCGGTCCCTCCTCCCGCAGCGCCAGCGCCTTCCTGCGCCGCGACAGCGAGCCCGTGGCCAGGCCGTGCTCCGCCTCCTCTGGAAGAGCAGAGAGGACAGTCAGGACAGGGGACACACGGGGCGAAGCGCGACCAAACCGCTCGGCGACACCCGGGGCCCAGGCTTCCTGCGGCCCAGCCTGGCTCTGTCTGTGGCGGCTGCGCACGGTCCCGCAGCCTCTCGGACTCCCCACGGCCCCGGGGAACCGCGCGCCGCCCCCCACCCCCCACACAAGCCTCGGCGCGGGACTGTCCGTCCACTTTGTCAACCTTGTCACACACTGCGCTGTCAAGTGTCGAAGAGCCTCCAGGATGCCACGCACACAGCCGTCCTGGGGCTGCCGAGCTGGCCCAGTGGAGTTCACCAGGCAGACGTTCGAGGCCAAGTCCAAGTGCAGTCACTTTCCCGAAATTAACTTTCTACACGTTTCCAAACGGATGCACAGCAACCCGCGTGATGCTGGAGAGGCTGAGGGGAAGGGAGCAGACAGAGACGGGGCCACGGACGGAAGGGCGAGGCCCTGCCCGGGCCCCGGGAGACGTGCGGAACACCCGGGCATCGCTCCTCAGCTGCGCAGCTGCAGGGGCGCGACCCGTCTGGCGTCGCTGTTTGGGAACTTTGGCATCTGTACGGAAGGCTCGCAACTTCAAGGAGAAGAGCTGGATGTAACAGCGGTCAATTTTAGTAAATTCCACCTACCGGCGCCGCCGCAGCCACCCGCCCGCAAGCCCAGCCCCGGCAGCAGCTGTCGCCAGGCGCGGGGCAGCTTGTGCACCAGCAGGTTCTGTCCTCCAGACACTGGGAATCGGGCTGACAGCCACTGCGGCTGCGGGTCAAAGAGCGAGGACGATGAGGGGGGGGCGGGCTGGCGCGGCCCCTCCCCCGCCTCCGGGGGCTCCGGGGGCTCCCAGGAGATTGGGGGGGGGGGCTGGACTCGACAGATCGACCCAAGAACAACTGCACGGGGAGACGACCGGAAAGTGGCCGTGCTTCCCGGAAAAATGGCTCGGAAAAGGCCAGAAGAGACAGCAAGTTGGCGCCTGAAGCGGGTTCTGGGCACAGCCAGGGCCCGAGAAAAAGAATTTTAAATGACCAAGAAAACCCGCCAACCCTGGGGAAGGGAAAGAATCTAATTTCCAGAGTTAAGTTATTAGATCCAAATGTCCAGTGTTCAACTAAAAAACAAAAAACAAACGAACAAACGAAAACAAACCCAAGACATTCAAAGCAACAGGAAAGCATGGCTCACTCAAAAAACAGAAAAAAGAAAAAGAAAAACAACTTCTAAACCAAAAACTATCCCCGAAAAGACTGAAGAGACAGGACAAGAAAGCAATGTGTGAACTAAATGAAAGTATCAACAAGTGATAGAAAACCTAAGAGGAAACCACATAGAAATTCTGGAGCCGAAAGGTACAAAACTGAAATGAAAAATTCACTGGGGGGGTTCAAATGCAGCTTTGAGCACAAAAAGAAGGAACCAATGAACTTAAAATAGGTTGATGTACACTATTACTATTGAGAAATCAAATGAAAAAAGCGGAGTCCTGACCGGTGCAGCCCAGCTGCTTGGCTGGTCCTGCAGAGCGGAAGGCCCGCCGGTTCGACCCCCACGCAGGGCCCCGGCCTGGGCCGTCGGTTTGGTCCGCAGCCCAGGCGCGTATGAGAGGCAACCAGTGCACGTTTCACACCCTCTCTTTCTCCCGCCCTTCCCCTCTTTCTAAAAATAAATAAAATCTTTGCTAAAAATTGAAGAACAGTGAACGAACAGCCCCTCAAGGACCCGCGGGACCCCACAAAGCAGACTGTAAACAACAAAACGGAGCCCCTTTCCAATGGAGCCGGAGCCGCCCCCCGGGGGGACTGCCCGGCGCCTCTCGCGCCCCCATCGCTGGACGTCCGCACAGGACGACCGAGCGCACTGCAGCCCCTGAACTCGGCAGAGACAGCCGGCAGTCATTAGGGCCGCTGGACAGGGGACGCCCAGACCACGGAGCCTGGCATCCCCGGGTTACGGCGTCTGCGCCCACGAAGCGCCTCCCTTCCCCGGGTGCACCCGTCCCGCCCGGTCCCAGGACGCCCGCCGCCCTCGCTTCCGCCTGGAGCCCTGCTTGGGCCTCTGCCCGAGCCGCCGCTTCCTGAATAGCCGTTCTTGATGATCTCAAATAAATGCTTGTTTGCTTCTCCTTTTGAAAGGCCTTTTATATTTAGGTTAACAAAACCAACATGTGCATGATGGGAGTTCCAGAAGAAAAGAAAGGCGTGGAGGGAATATTTGAAGAAATAACGCCCGAAGTTTCCCAAATTTGATGAAACGCATGCATATAAACATCCAAGAAGCTCAACAAACTCTAAGTATGATGAAGTCAAAGAGACCAAAACGGAGACACGTTACAGTAAAAGTTTCCAAAGACGAGGACAGAACCTTGAAAGCGGAGGTGGGGGGGGGGGGAGAGGAGCCGGTCCCTACACACGCGGGGCCCTCAGCGAGCGTGGCCGGCCCTTCCCAGCGCAGACTCTGAGCGCAGGGGCAGGCAGCGGACGGGAAGGGCCACCACAGGAAACGGACCGCCCACCAACACTCTTCTCTCCAGCAAAACGGTGAGAAATCCAGAAACAAGCTGAGGAGCTTGTGAGCGCGAGACCCGCCGGCAGGAAACGCTGCGGGGCCTCCTGGGGGCCTGACGGGGCCCAGCCAGCGAAGCGGCCGCGGAGAAATGCGGGCCTCAAGGAAGGCACGCGCAGGCGCGGCCACGCAGGCGCGGCCAGGGAGGCTGGGATCGTCAGAGCGATGGCCCGGCACGGCGCTCGTCGCTTCCCGACGGTTTCGGAGACAATACACCTGAAGGAAAATGTGAAGGAAAAAAAACTGTCTGAAAGCTAGTAGTGTTGTTACTTTGGTTTGGAACGTCAAATCTTAGCTTCGACATCACTTGAAAGACTAGAGCATTTAGGAGCACCATTCGTTTAGGTTTGGGGGCGCATGTGCACGGAGACGTGACTCTGTGACGCCCACGACCGGAAGCGCCGGGAGCGGAGCTGTGAAGGAGCAGAGCGGGTGTGTGTTGTTGAAGTCAAGCTGCTGTAACTTGATATTAGAATGTCCTAACTTCAGGGAGATCAAAGTAATCTACGTGGCAATCACAAAGACAATAGCTATAGAATATACATGGGAAGAAATAAGAAAGGAAATAAGATATTTTATACAAAAAAAATGAACTAAACACAAAAGAAGACAGGAAGGCAGGAAGTAAGGGACAAAAAGCCTGTGATAAATACGGAAAACAAAGAGCAACACGTCAGAAGGCGCTCCGTTCTTAGCAACTACTGTGAACGTAAATGGGTTAAACTTTCCAGTCAAAAGGCGGAGAGTGGAAAAATGGCTAGAAACACATGACCCAGCTCTGTGCTCTCTGTGAGGGACTCGCCTGAGAGCCAAAGACACGAAAGCCTGAGAGAAAGAATGAAGAGACGTTCCCCGCAAATTTTAACAGGAAAGACCAGGGGAGGCTGCACGAGCATCAGGCAAAGTCGGACTTGAAATACAGAAAACACAGGCAGAGGAGGACACTATCTACTCTGAAAGGTTCAACAGAGCAAGAAGATGTAACAATCACAAACATTTATACACGTACTGATAGATCATCAAAATATAGAAAGCACAAACGGACAAAACGGAAGGAAGAAAGTTCTGCAGTAGCAGCTGGACTTCAATACACCCCTCACAAAAATCTATATAATGAGTAACCAGAGGGAAGGAAAGTAAGGAAATAGAAGGCATAACGTGACGACCCACCTACATCTACCAGACACACACGTGACACTCACGTGACACCCACAACAGCGTGCAGAGCTGCCCCGAGTGCGCGCGGGCATGTTCCAGCACAGAGTGCGTGTTAGGCCATGCGCTCTCAGTAGAGCTGAAAAGATAAGACATCACACGAAGTATCTTCTGTGACCACAACAGAGTGGAGTCAAGAATCAGCAACACAAAGAAAACGGGAAAATTTTTTTAAATGTGGAAACCTAACACCGTAGTAAACAACTGACGTATCAAAGAAATCACAGGGCGACTAGAAAATAGGCAGAGGGGTATCGAAATAAAAACACAATGTAGCAACACGCATGGGATACAGGGGCAGCCGCGGCCTGCGCTGGAAGCCGAGGACGCCTCCAAGCAGCAGCCTGCTGTTACGGCCCAGGAAAGCCCCGGCTCGCTGGTTAAGTGGGAACAGGCTGAGCTCCAAGCTGGCAGGAGGGAAAGAGTCACGGACAACACGGCAGAGAGAAATGACAGGGAGGACGGGACTCAGCAGAGGAAGGCAATGACGCGAACAGTGCATTTCTCAAAAAGACGAACAAGGTCAGCAAACCTTCAGCTGGATGGACTAAGAAAACAAGAGAAGACTCAAGTTACTAAAATCAGAAATGAGAGTGTGAACATCACTACCAATCTATAGAAATGAAAGGGATTATGAGAGAGTATTATGAACAATTTCATGCCAACAAAGTGATTGTTTATATAAAATGGACAAATTCCTACCAACTCAAAACCTACAAAAATTAAATTACAAAGAAATTTTTTTTAAAAAAACTGAATAGATTTATAGTAAGGAGATAAATAAATAATCCAAGATCTTCCCAAAGAGGAGCTGTGGACCGGGTGGCCTCACTGCTGACTTCTGCTGAACATTTAAAGAACAAACACCGATGTTTCTCAAACTTTCCCCCAAATCGAAGAGGAGGGGACACTTCCCGACTCACCCCACGAGGCCCGCGTCACCGCAGCCCAGAGCCAGGCCGCAGCACGGCAGAGCAAGACTCCCTGGGAGCGCTGATGCACAAATGCTCAGCACACTACTGGGAAACACAACCCACCAGCGGATTAAAAGAATTATACACCAAGACCGAGTGGGATTGCTCCAGGAATGGAAGGCTCAACCTGCGGAAGGGCGATGTCATGCGGCCACCTGAATGAAGGGGACAGCATGAAGGGACTAAATGATCCTCTCAACTGATGCAGAAAAAGCAAACTTGAC